AAATTATCAGCAAATAAGATTTGCAATCTAATTTTTAAATAGTTTAACTTTTTAAAAGGGGGTATATCATTAAATTATTTTTCTTGCATCCCCTTCCTTTAAGGCCTAGCGTAATTGCCTTCCAAAAATTAAAAATATCATCGTCCATTGATTTTTTTCCAAGAGACCTCAGACTTTAACCCAAACCACTTTAGATGATTTAATAACTGATTTTATTATAGATCGCATTCAGCCATTTAAAAACTAGTAGAAATCCCGTCAAAAATGACGGGGAATGAGATTTTTATTCATTTTTTACGATAGATGTCATGCCAGGTTCAAGTTCACAATATTAGGAAGCATCCAAGATCTTATAATTTTAAAAAGGTTTATCAAGCACAGCTCAACCCTTAATAATTTGTAAAAGATATTTCCAAGTCAGGTGCAAGCTATTATTAATTTTGAGGTTCCAAGCCCATTCCTACCCATTATAATTTTGAAAATTTTTTCCCGCCTCGGAGATAGTTAAATTTTTAATATCATCACATGAACGGGAAATATCTGATTTACCAATTAGTCTAATATGGAAAATAAACATGTAAATTCCGTATTAAGGGAAACTGAGAAGGCCTGGGCAACCACTTATTAGAGAATCATGACAAATAAAATAAAAATAACCGACTCTTATGCTTTTTGTAATATGATCAATTAAAATTATATCTAAAAAATATGTTGTTTATTATATCAGATAAATTTAATGTATGTCTTGCACTTCTGAAATTATTTGTCAAAGAATTTGATAAGGGATATATATTTTTCTACGTTAAGTAAAAAAAAAATGCTGTCTATTTAAATTACAAAAATGCCATTAAACACTAATGAAACTTATATGCAAATTTTTTATATATTTTTTAAGATATTTTTTTTATTGACATATAAATTTAGGATAATTTTTTTAAAAAATAATGAGGATTATTTATTATGTATTTGATAAAATTAAGAGCAAATCATTGTTGACATTTTAATTTTTGATGGAAAAAGCGATAAAATAAATTTGGGCGGTCGTCTGGAGAGGAAATAATTAATGTATAATTTTATATCATTTAGGGTTGTAGATGAAAGTGATGACGGATTACCAAAGCAGTGTACAAAACACATTACGTCCTGATAAAGATGATATGTATATGCCTTGGGATACTGGTAAAAGAGGAGCACAACACGATTTCAGTCAATGTCAGCATTGGTATTCCTCTCTAAAATAGAATCATGAACGACAATGTTAACTCAACCATAAAACGGTCGTAAGTATTGTTATAAAGGCCACGACAGAACTATTGCATATATTTCCATTAATAAAGTTGATGAAATTGGCCGTACTGTACATTCAAGTTTGAACACGCAAAACGATATTTCTGTCAATGTCAGCATTGGTATCCCCTTCTAAAATAGAATCATGAACGACAATGTTAGCTCAACCATAAAACGGTCGTAAGTATTTTTATAAAGGCCACGACAGAACAACTGCATATATTTCCATTAATAAAGTTGATGAAATTGGCCATACTGTACATTCAAGTTTGAACACGCAAAACGATATTTCTGTCAATGTCAGCATTGGTATTCCCTTCTAAAATAGAATCATGAACGACAATGTTAACTCAACCATAAAACGGTCGTAAATATTGTTTTAAAGGCCACGACAGAACTACTGCATATTTTTCCATTAATAAAGTTGATGAAATTAACCGTACTGTACATTCAAGTTTGAACATTCCTCTAAAAATATTCATGAAAGTTTCTCAGAGAATCGGATAAAGTAATATATATATTAACTCCTAGTGATGTGAATGATAGTACAGAATTAAATGTTTATATTTGTTAAAAAATAGAAGGCATAGGGATTGTAATAGTGGTGATAGTATAATTTGGAAAACTAGGTGAAAATAAAATAAACATAGATATAAAACATAAGATAAAAAAAATAAACCTCCAGATGAGTTCATTTCAAGCGTAGTTCTTTATTATTTTGTCTACCAGTAACTCTAGAACGGGTAAGGCGTTTGTTTAATCGTTATTATTTTCTTTGCTTATCTTTAATAATAGATTCATCATGTTTTGTAGCAATGTGAGGGATTAGGGTTAGTCTAGACGAATAAAGAAATCAGGCAAAAATATAAATAAACTATTGTTGAAATTAAACAAACATTAAAATAATGAAAAACCGGTAGATGGGTCAATATTAGATGCATATTTCTAGTAGTTGGAGGGCTATCATCAAAAAAAATTTTGGGGGACTTATCAAGCCTATTATGATATTCTAAAAGTTAAAAAATAACATGATGAATGTAATGTTATTAAGATTAAGGTTAATTAATTGTAAGGTAATTAAAAAATAAGATTAAAAAAGGGGGGAAAAAAGAAGGTATATAAATTATTATATTATAAAAATAATAAAAATTAAATTAAAGGAATTGATAAGGTTTGGCTATCATCAAAAAAAAATTTGGGGTGACTTATCAAGCCTATTAATTATGATATTCTAAAAGTTAAAAAATAACATGATGAATGTAATGTTATTAAGATTAATTAATTGTAAGGTAATTAAAAAATAAGATTAAAAAGGGGGGGGGGGGAGAAAGAAGGTATAAATTATTATATTATAAAAATTAAATTAAAGGAATTGATAAGGTTTTGAGAAATAGTGGTTAATAGATAATAGAGATAGAAAGAAAAAAATGAAATAATAAAATTTAGTGATAAATAAATTCATTAAGGGAGTGGAAAAAAATAAAGAAAGAGTTATTTATAAGGATTGGAGATTATAAGTAGGTTAGGATAAGAATATTTAAATATTTGAATATACTTGGTTATCTTCTTAATTATTATTGGTTATGAAAGAAAAATATAAGTATAAAAAATTATAACGTAAGTACTGACAAAAATTGTGAGTATATAAATATACAAGTTGAGTATCTTGTAGAGATTTCATTAATGTGTAATTGATAATATGAGATGAAAATCGATAAGGTAATCTAAAAAATAAAGAAAAGATTAAGTGAAATAAAAAGTTTCATTCATATTTACAAAGTTGAGGGAATATTGTTTTTATCAATTCAAAGACGATTTTTCAAATCTCTCATTCCATTTTAAGTATGTGTACACCATCAATTCTCGAAATTCCATTCATCTGTTTGTATAAAATAAATAAATAAAATCACAAATAAAAAATCAAATAAAAAAACACGTACTGATGACATGACGTAGCTATGACATGATGTCACGATGATGTAGTGAGGACATCGGAAAATTATAATATAGATGATCAAAACATCAGCTCCACAAAAAAATATAATTTGCCGACAGACAGTGGTTGTTACTGAAATCTAATAATTATTTATAATCATTTAATCATATATTATATTATTTTATTAATGATATATAATAATTATTTATATTAATCATATATTATATTAATATCTAAAAATCATTAATGTGATATCGAGTCAATAAATTTTTTTGATCATTTCATTACATAGATTCATTTTAAATTGTATCAGTATCAAGATAATTATAGAAGCTGTGTATGTATCTAGATAAATTCTTAGACGATGTATCTGTATCTAGATCCATTTAAAAAGTATATTTTAACAACTCTGCTAGCTTCCATCATATGATCTAAGAGGATGCTCTAACCACCATATAGATTTATGATTTGGATTGGCCGTTTAAAATCTCTTCTTCAAGAATTATTGTTTTGTTTAAGCTTATAAATTTTTCCTTATTAGTCCATTTTATAAAACATTGTCTAAAAGGGTAGCGGAGAGTTATATTAGCTTCCATCATATGATCTAAGAGGATGCTCTAACCACCATATAGATTTATGATTTGGATTGGCCGTTTAAAATCTCTTCTTCAAGAATTATTGTTTTGTTTAGGCTTATAAATTTTTCCTTATTAGTCCATTTTATAAAACATTGTCTAAAAGGGTAGCGGAGAGTTATATTAGTTTAATGACAATGTAAGTTGCTAAGATTCATAGGCGTAGCCAGGATTTTCCTAAAGGGGGGGGAATTACAAAATTTTTGGGGGCTTCGCCCCCAGACCCCTTTTTTGGGCCGGGTTATTAATCCTATATATATTTTAAAATTTTTTTAACAAATAATAAGCCCGGAAGAAATATGAAATATATTTTTATTAGTTTATTGTTAATATAGATAGATCACACAAAAATGTAATATTAATTTATGTTATGTCATAAGATAGATCATACAAAAACGAGGTAATAATTTATGTTTTGTGTAATATAAGATAGATCATACAAAACGTGGTAATAATTTATAATGTTATATGGAATTTTCTTTTAGAATTTGATAATTCATTAATTATTTCAGTATTATCTGGTGTTAATTCCTGATGAATATTTAATAGCGCTAAACCATTTAATCTATTTTGCGAGGTAGTATGTTTTTAGTCTTCTTAAATTAGAGAAAGTTCTTTCATTTGTACATGTCGTAATTGGGAGGCATGCTGAAATTTGAAATAATTTTGTTATGTTCGGAAATTCAATTAATGTGTTTACAAAATTCAGTACATTTAATGCATTATCAGGCTTTATATCCATTCTTTTTAAATTGGCAAACCAATATTTAAATTCACTTATTACTTCTAATTCGGTCCCTACCATATCTTGCAAATAAAAATTATATAAATACTGAATTTTATTTCTAATGTCATCCGAAATGTTCACAGATGGATTAGAGGATAACAAAATTTGAAAGTTACTTAGCAAAAGTTTATGGTTTAATAAACGTTCTTTAATCTGAGTTAAAAAAGTGTCCATAAGTGGTATAAAAATAATAATTTTGTAATACTTATCAACTGATTGTAAGGAAATATTATTCCTATGTACTTGTCTTGATACTATTCTTGGCATGCTTATTATCATATTCTAAGATTGCACTTTTTTTTTGAACTTTGTTAAAAATCGTTCTAAATTCACAATCAGCATTTTTTCTTATCTGTAAAATAGCATTATATGCATCTTCAGCGAAGATCAATGCCTGAACCATATCTTGGTTCACTCTTTGCAAGGCTCTGCATAATAATATCGTGTGGCAGAAGAGAGTGTTAATGCAATTAATGGCCAATAAAAACTCAGGATCTTGAATCGCTTTCAAGATTCCATTGGCTTCTGCCACCACTGATGTATCTGTCCATCCACATATTTCCTCCAATGCAACAATTATCGGGTCAACTAATGCAAGAAAAACTGCAAACGATTCATGTCGTAGGATCCATCTTGTAGGGCACATTTTCATAAGTTTATGATGATTATTGCCTCTTCCTTTGCCAAAAAATTTTTGAGGACATTAGATCTTTTTGGATACTTGAACATATCATATACCTTGCCTATTGTGCCTTTTTAAATATATGATTATAATTAAAATAAAAGTTTAATAAACCCATGGTACTAAGAATAACGGGAATTGAGCAACAATCAGAAATGGCTAGATTTAGGGAATGCGACGCACAATGTACATAAATTGCAGTAGGATATTTTTTTATTAAATGTGATTGAACACCGTTTAAATGTCCACTCATAGCACTGGCACCATCATATCATTGTCCCCGCATAAAATTAACATTAATTTAAAATTTTTTAAGATGAACATCAATTGTGTTAGCAAGACATTCACCTCTTATATCTTGAATCGGAATAAATTGCAAAAAGTCTTCTTTTATTTGAACTTCATCTATATAAATGATAATAATTTATATAAAATAAATATAAATTTTACCATTTTCAGAATATAAATATCGAGCACACAAGGACATTTGCTCTATGCCAGATATATCAGTTGATTCATCTGCCAAGACTGAAAAGAATGGAGACTTGTTAATGTTGGCAACTATCATTCTTAATATTAAATCATTACACACATCAATGATTTCGTTTTGAATGGTGGGGCTTAAATACGTAGCATTTTTCGGTGCATTTAACAAGTTAATCCTGAGCTCATCATCTCCAATTGCTCGGTTTCTGAGAATAGCTCTAAAGTTTCCATCATTTTCATTTGCCTGAATCTCGATGACCTCTTAATGCCATACATTGATTTCCACATGTAATTATTGCATCTATTATAGGAGATAATTTTAGTCTATTTTCATTTGCCATTTTCTTTTTACCTTGATCTTTATAAAAAATAAATAATTATAAGGCCATAAAATATGAAACCCAAAAGGTTGGCCAATTAAACTGGTACCTTTGTGGGTCTCTTATAATAATTTTTAATGGTTTACCTATTATATGAATGATAGAATCTCTATCATAAGCATTAATTGCTCAAAGAGATGATATAATATTTTGTGTATTTTTATGGTATAAATTGTTTTGATGATTTTCAAAATTCTCCCCTGCATCTTTCCAACGTTTATATGGGCAATTCACAAGTCGCTTTAATTTTTGTTCACCTTTACCAGCATATTATGGTCCAAATAGAACACAATATTTACAATAAGCCCCATTTTGTGAAGGTGAGTAAGCCAATCAAGGCCAAGTGGTAAACCAATTAAATTAAAATTTTAATTTCCTTCTAGATAGATCTCTTGGAAATTTAAAATTATTGGGTGGCCTATATATACTCTCTAGTATATTAAAGTCTTTGGGGACTACATCCAATTGAACATAATTGCTTATGTCAAATGGTAAAGTACCTAAATAAACTATTTACATATTTTTAAAATAGAAATTTTACTATCCATATTTTGAACTCTTGACTGTCTAAGATTTACTGCAGATCTTTCATCAACGACATCAACTTAAAAAAATGCAAATTACATAATGATATTAAAATAAAATACCTATTGGGATTACCTGGATGATAGGATTACTTTTCTCATTCTCTAGCACAATCTCTAATATTTGATCATCTTTTTGATAATCAATAACAACTAATAATAATAATTATGTTAATATTCAAATAGTTCTTACTTGAATCAAGGTCTCTTATATTTAGAGAATTATTATCTCCCAGCAACATCACTAAAAAAAGATATATAAATTCATTATAAATATAAAATATACGTTCATCAATCCTTGTTAAATTTATTCTAATATCCTTCTTTTTTGATATATTTTCATGATTGTTACATAATATTTCTGATACCCTATTTTCACTTGAAATTGAATCAATTTTCTTGCGATGATGATCTTGGTAGGAAATTAATGTTTATTATAATAAATATAGAATTACCTTTTTCATTTACATTCTTTAAAAAATATTTTCTGATGTCCATATCAATCTTAAAACAAATATGATGCTTGTTGCTCGGTCAAAAAATTGCAAAATATATTTTAAAAATAAATTGGAAGGAAATTTAAAAAAATGGGAATATGGTTATGTTAATTTTTTATTAAATTTATAAATTAATTTTATTAATAATTTTGTAATTAAATTTTACTTTAATTAAGAAAAATAAATTAATATAATTCATTATATAAAATTATAAAAAATCATATTTTTATTTATTATTTTATTTAGTATTTTTATAGATCTATTAATAGTAATTATATAAAATTGACTTTTGTCTTATGACTTATATATGGCTTATATTTCTTTTTTTTAAATACATTTTTGTATCACTTTTTTTATATATATTTATATATAAATCTTTTTAAAAAATATAAATTATAGTCAATAGTTTAAGTTTAAAAAATTATTAACTCTCATTATTTCTTTCATTATTGTTTAAGAAGATATATGCATACATTTTTGAGAGACAGAGAGTGGGAAGATGGAACGTATTTTTTATTAGTTTAAAATGATATTTACGAAAAGTGATATATTTCTGAAGAAAGGGGGGGTTTCCCCTTTTCCCCCTTTCTGGCTACGCCTATGCTAAGAATTATATTATTATATGGTTTTTAAAAACCATTATTAATTGAGGCATATGTATGAATTAATTAACCTTTTTTAATCATTTGTAATTTTTAGACGCTAAATTTTTTTATATCAGCAATTGAAAATATTTTATAATGTAATAAATAAATTTTGTATTAAAAAATATTATTTTTAGAAATGTCTTGTATTGTTTTAATTATTTATATGCTATTTTATTTTGTATGCATAAATAATAAATGACAAAATATGAAATTCAGAATAATTGTTCAGAGTGAGCAAATTTTAAAAAAGAATAATATATTAATATAAAACCCGGCCGAAGTCCAGCACGCCCCCGTCCCCATAAATATTTTTTTAGTTGAACCTCCTGAGATTGTAAAGGCTAGCGACGCCCCTGACATTTATACAATTTAGTTCGAATGAAACTAAAGCGTGTTGGGTTGAAAATACACGGCTTGCCGTGCCGTCCTTAAATGCGAATTCATACGTTCTATTTAAATGCACGATATTTGTTTTTCCTTAGCTTTTAGATTCGTAACTGAAAACTTAGATTCGTAACTGAAAACTTTGATTCGGAAGAAACTGAGAATCCTTGTCCACATACCCCTAAATACCCTGGTCATAGTAGTATTCCTCCCATGTTTGCTGTTATGGACTCGCGTATCGGGCCAGAGCATAACAGATAAAGTTAATTTTTTCAATTAGCCATATATGTCGAAAACAACCTGCCAAATTTAATCTATAAACTCATTTAAGCTAACTTTGAAATATATAGATTGATTTACTAATATTATGGCCAGTGGCATCTAGGGAAGTGTAATATATAGCTCAAGAGATATGATAAATTTGTAAATTCTATTGATCACCCTCCAAACCAAATTCGGTGAAATATATCTTAACCAAATTTAATTCAACAAATTATTGTTGTTGCGTTAGTCATTGGGTTCTATTTTTTCTTATAGCTACCTGTTTAGGTTTTTCTAGAACCACCTCTCATCATTTAAAATGATTTATCATGTTATTCTTTTTAGTCTATACATCATCCGTCAAATTATTGATTTACGCTAGTCATATTTTAGCTAAAATTTTAAATTTTTTGCAAAAGAGTATGGTACGATTAAAACACCGTTATCTCTTATTAGAAATAAAATTAAATGCCAAATATGAAAATTCTTTTTTTAATGTCTCAGAATCAGATATTCTTGATATTATCAAAAAATACGTGAATGTATTGCATGGTGATTATGGAAGTGGTATAGTGGACAATTCATTATCAATTAAATACTATCAGCCCAGTTCAAGAATATTAATATTGAGACTAAATAAAAAAGGACACCTAATAGTAGCTTCGGCAATTCCACTTATTTGTAAAATAGGATCATATGATGGATATTTTAAAACTATTTATGTTGGTGGTACAATTTTGAAATGTCAAAAAATGCTATTAAAATATTATAAATCAAGTATAAAAAATCTAAATAAAAATATTTTATCATGAATTTTAATTAGCAGTCTTATAAATAAAATATCAAATTTGATAATTAAATTCAAGATTTAAGAAATATAATAGTATTTATTATTTATGTGTAAAAATAATTTTTACCTAAAATGTATAGAGTATATTTATAATCAAAATTGTACTGATATAATAAAATTACAGGATTTGGAATTTTTAGCAATTTATTTGCCAAAACAAAGTGTTTTTTTTTGTTTTTCTTTTTATTTCAAATTTAAAAGTGTATAAATTTAAAAATACTTGCCTATATATCAGTTTCATTGATCACTGAGGTAAATTTGCTAAAAATTGAGTGCTATTCTATTTATTTTGGATTTCCTGAGTTTTAATCTATATTTTTTAAAAAATCCAGGCTGAATTGCTAAAAATAGACCAATTATCAAACTAATTAAAATAATAGTGCTGTTTCCCATTCTATTATATCCTTTCATTTTTACTTGTCCCCAATTCCTTTCAAACTTGAGACTCCATTCTACTAATTTAGCATTAATCACGAAAATAAGAGTAGTCTACCTTTCCTATTATATTAAGGTAATTGAAACCTACCATATTTAATTATTGCACTCAAAATTTATTTTATCATATAATAAAATCAATCATTAAAATATTTTTATCTTTCTGTATTTTGTTATTAAAGACAAATTTTTTATAAAAAAAATGTTTTTCAATATATACACTAAAGTAATTGGCCATAATTACTAACCTTGACATTAAGTTATTATTTAAATTAAATTTTGAATATATATATAAAATAATAACAAATTAATAATTGTATATAGCTAAACATTAAAATATGTTATATAATAATATGTAGATTATCTAAATGGTTCAATTGAATTTATCAATCTCACTTGCAAATAGTAAGAATTTTTTTATAAATATAAAAAATATACATCTAATGTTATTATAGAATAGTCTTGCAATATTTTATGTATTAACTTTTATTTATCCTCTGCCAAATATTTAAGTAGTTCTATGTCACTTTAAAAAATTTTTTTAGCAAAATATTTCTATTAATATTAATCCTAGGAATTAAAACCTATTAAATATATTTTTAGCAAAATATTTATATTAAAATTAATACTAGGAATAAAGAACCTATTTTTTCTGTTTTTTTTAAAATGTAATACTATTACAAATAATACTGCCAATATTATATTTTTTATTACCACAATCATTTTATATTTTTCCCATTTTGTTTAGTTTCATTAAAAAAATAATTTCTTTTTTTTAATAATTTTTTTAAAAAAAATTTGTAGCAGCTTTTTCCAATCCTGATGTTTTTTTTATATTCCTGATTAATACCAATATGAAACTTAAAAAACAACAGTAGGGGAGACCTTTCCTAGTTTAACATGGTGGTAAACCACCTGATCCCATTTTAAAATTGAGATATGATATTTAAATCTTAATATATAATTTAGACCTTAATTACCAGTTTGATGCACACCAGTTTTACTCTGATAACCACATCAAAACAAAACAAAGATTTAGGGATTTACATTACCATTAAATAAATAAAATAATTGGTAATTCTTCCCCTCAAAATGTAATAAAGTAAAAGGAAGAAATAACTCTAAATAAATAATAAAGACCAAATGAGAGTGCTGACTCATGGACAGAGTTGTCAAGTCAAAATTTTCAAATTGCTGGAAAAATTTGGTATTATGTGGGAGAAGTTTTTCTTTTTATTTCAACTTTAAAAGTGTAGAAATTTTAAAATACTTGCCTATATATCAGTTTCATTAGCCACTGAGGTAAATTTGCTAAGAATTGAATGCTATTCTATTTATTTTGGATTTCCTAAATCTATATTTTTCAAAAAATCCAGGCTGAATTGCCAAAAATAGACCAATTATCGAACTAATTAAAATAATGCTGTTTCCCATTCTAGTATATCCTTTTATTTTTACCTGTCCCCAATTCCTTTCAAACTTGAGACTCCATTCTACTAATTTAGCATTAATCATGAAAATAAGAGTAGTCTACCTTTCCTATTATATTAAGGTAATTGAAACCTACCATATTTAATTATTTCACTCAAAATTCATTTTATCATATAATAAAATCAATCATTAAAATACTTTTATCTTTCTGCATTTTGTTATTAAAGACAAATTTTTTATAAAAAAAATGTTTTTCAATATATACACTAAAGTAATTGGCCATAATTACTAACCTTGACATTAAATTATTATTTAAATTAAATTTTGAATATATATATAAAATAATAACAAATTAATAATTGTATATAGCTGGACATTAAAATATGTTATATAATAATATGTAGATTATCTAAATAGTTCAATTGAATTTATCTATCTCACTTGCAAATAATAAGAATTTTTTTATAAATATAAAAAATATACATTTAATGTTATTATAGAATAGTCTTGCAATATTTTATGTATTAACTTCTATTTATCCTCTGCCAAATATTTAAGTAGTTCTATGTCACTTTAAAAATTTTTTTTAGCAAAATATTTCTATTAATATTAATACTAGGAATTAAAACCTATTAAATATTTTTTTAGCAAAATATTTCTTATTAAAATTAATACTAGGAATAAAAAACCTATTTTTTCTGTTTTTTTTTAAAATGTAACACTATTACAAATAATACTGCCAATATTATATTTTTTATTACTACAATCATTTATATTTTTCCCATTTTGTATAGTTTCATTAAAAAAACTAATTTCTTTTTTTTAATAATTTTTTTTAAAAAAATGTTTGCAGCAGCTTTTTTCAATCCTGATGTTTTTTTTATATTCCTGATTAATACCAATTTGAAACTTAAAAAACAATAGTAGTGGAAACCTTACCTAGTTTAACATGGTGGTAAACCACCTTATCCCATTTTTAAATTGAGATATGAT